CATCAGTGACGGCCAGGCAACGCTGCACCGGATGACTGAGACGCTACAAGTCATCAGAGTGGCACAAGAGCTTCTGCCAGGTGGTACTACTACGCTCAAGACGAGCCTGTACATACAAGCGCTGTCAGGAAAGCTTGCTGGGTCCACACTAATCAGGGCAATGCTGCTCTCGTTGCGGAAGGCGACGTCAGAGGTGGTCGTTAGGATATTGGATGCCGTGCGCGGTGCCATTGCTTCTTTCGGGAATGAGCGCGCAAGCGATACCGTCGTGGAAATGCAGGCACTGCAGACTGAGCTCATGGAGCTCACTGCCAGCAGTAAGCGTGGCGCGAAACAGCAACCCCTACGCAGCGAGGATGACATCGGTAGCTCGACTGTGCGAACAACGGTAGTGGCGCAGAAGGTTCAGCTGAGCAAACAGAAATCAGAGCTCTCGAAGCAGGACGCCGCATACACAGTGTTGGTGCGAAGGTTCACTGACATTCTGGAGGCGTACTTCTCAGCCACCCTGATCGATGCGCAGAAGCTACCATACCACGAGATCTTTATGTATGATCTGAAGTCGCCACACAGGGAGACATTCACGCCTAGGCCGCGGCATGCTATTGAACGCGCACTAGCGACACCGCACGACTACTTGGCTTGTGAGTGTTGTGCACCAAGCAAGGGTCAGGGAGACGAGGCCACGCTCTCAGCCACACAGCCGGCAACTGCAGTGTTGTACCAGCTGTACTTGGAGTCTGGGAGTCTAATCAATGTCAGCGATCTCTGGCAGGCGTTCCAGGCAGTGATGAGTGAGAGGAAGAAGGACGAGGAGCAGCTCATGGCACTTTTCCAACGCGGATTGGCGGAAATGCGGTACCTCGGGCTCGTGAAAAGCACGAGGAAGAAAGCAGACCATATTGCGAAGGTGGCTTGGAAGGGTCTGTAGATGGGTATATAGATATACTCGCGGCCGCCGCAGCCACTGTGAGCGATGTCCTCAGTGACAGGCAGCACTCTTCGTAGCACTCGAGCCACCAAACAGCAAGTAGCCCAAAAATGCCCCAAAGCCCACAGCCAGCATGATCCAGCCGTTGTATGTCATGAACAGTAGCCTGCATCAAGCTGTCAGCACAGCGGCCGCACGCTCATCGACACGCAATACTCACATAATAAAGAACGAATAAAACACCTGCACCCCATAAAACGCCGCCTTGGCCACCCTGCCCGTCTGTTCCTCCGCGCTTCTCCCCTGCCCTACCCACAAAAGTGAGCCTCGTTCGCTTCGGCCTGGACTCATAAGCCCCAACTCCACTACTTCTGACGGCAGAAACTTACTGGTCATGCCCTCGACTCTCTGCTCCAGCCTCGTCTCATAGCGTCGTGACGCCTCTCGCAGCGCCTCGTAGGCCGCTGTCAGAGCTACAATGGCCGCCAGGGAGATGATCAGAGAGGCCGTGTTGGTTATGCGCCAGCTGGAGAAGACGATGCAGAGGTTTTCGGTGGACCAAGTGAAGAGCATCTGCTCATAAGGTCAGGACATGGAAGACAGGAGATGCAGCGGAGTGGAGAGGAGCAGTACGTTCATGCTGCACATGGGCTGATGGTCACCCATGTCCATGTCTCCGTGGTGCATGTGGGAGTGGTCCATTATTGGAGACTGAACCTGAGCTGTAGACGGGATGCAGTCTTCGAGGCCTTCACTGCGATAATCTGTTTCTGTAATCAAGGATGTCGCGGACTCGGCATGTGTACTATAACATCTGTAGCAGACACAAGAGGTGATGTTGGACTAGGTGGCCATCATGCGGCTGCGCCCGCACTCTGCATGAAAGTGCTCAAATGCAACATCTAGAGAGAATGTGCGGCATATATGAACATGAGAGGATGTAGGATCTCAAGCAGCCGTTGAGCGATTAGTCTATACATTTCGTGTTTACATACGCCGATCTATCATAGCACCCAATGTCAAGCGAATGTACATCTCGCCGCCTCTACAAGCGCTGCAGCACGCCACCCTTGCTAGCGCAGGATTGAGCTGCTCCGGACGACGTCGTCGTGACGGTGTTGACGATGCTGTGGAGATATCAGTACTTGACACATGCGTGGCATTCATAAGAGATCGACTTACGTTGTAGTACGGGTCTGGGTCTTCGTCACTTGCACGATCGGCACCAACTTCGTTACCACCCTGGTGACTTGCGCCAGAGTGACAGTGACAGGGCCAGCAGTGACAACAACAGTCGAGGTCGTAGTCGTGAAGTCAGTCCCGGTCAGCGTCTGTGTAGTCGCAGGCGCATTGTTGATCGCAGTGCTCGTCACAGCACCCGCGGTCGAGGTGATAGTTGGCGCATCTGGCGCACGCTTCTCGATATTCCGCGCCTCGAGCATCTGGCGGCGCTCGTTGACGAAAGCAATCTTCAAGTCAGCCGAAGGCGTACGGCCAGCAATGATCTCGCGCTTGAACTTGGCGGACGCTGTGAGCTCGTCGCGGATGCCGAGGCTGTCCAGTCCGATCAATCCACCAAGGCCACCGAGCAGATCCTCAACGACGTTATCGAGCTCGCCGAGGATCGTCGGGAGGATGGTAGCAATAGGGTCCTGGACGCGGCGGGTCGGCTGGACAGAGCATGACGCTGGCACCGTGCGTGTGGAAGACACGACAGAGTAGGTCTGGGTTTGTTGCGTGAGGGTAAGCAAGCCGCGCGTGCTGGTAGACGTTGTCGCCTTAGGTGTCACAGTCTGTGTTCCCCGGCCGGACGTAGCGGTGGATGTGGTAGTGTCAGTCGCCGTCGAAAGCACCGTACTTGTGATGTTGACGACTGGTGTTTGAATGACGGAGACGGTGAGCTACGTAGCAATGTCAGCAAGCTGCTATCGAAGCTTCATGCAAGCAGCCGACTTACTGTCGGTGTCACGGTCGACGTAATCTGTGGTCCAACAGTCAAGGAGAAGTCACGCTGGAAGGCGATCGGCTCGGCATTGCCGTTGTTCGAGATTATCAGGAGCGACCAGTCACCGTTGTACAGCTTGTTCTTTGGCCACTGCGAGCAGGTCACGAGCTGCGGTGTGTCGTCTGGCTGCATGGGTGTCTCCGTGCACTCCGACTGGTCTCCTGCCGGGTCCACGAAGATGTTGTGCGAGACGTCATTCTGGCAGCCCTCGAATTCCTGCAGCGCAGTGAAAGGATCTGCCGATAGCGAGTTCTGGAAGTAGGTGAAGCCGCTCCGGAAGTCGTCGCCGTAGGACGCGCAGTCGGCGACGACCTGAGGGATGAGGTCAAGGAGAGCGAGTGCTGCGGAGGCCGCTTTGAAGGAAGGCATTGCGACGAAAGGCTAGGACGACAAAAAACGAGAGTGAAGGGTGACGAGGCTGAGCTGAGTAACGAAAAAGTACTTACATGCGCCGTTATAACGCAACAGCGCATACCCACCTGCCGGTCCCGAGCTCAACGGCACGAGTTGCGAAAGGCACCACGAGTCGACTCTCCATAGATCCACGGCTAGAGACCGTGCCTTGCAGCGATAGGAGGGTCGAAACTTCCATCTTGGGACGAGTCCAGTTCGGATATGAGCAGAGTCATGTTCCTGCAGATCATAGACACGATCGTAGCGGCTCAAGTGGAGAAACAACCACTGCCACGAATCCGCGCGACCAATGTGTCAGGGTGGAGTAGGTACCAAGCCAGTGTTTCCAGTCCGGGCAACCCAGCGTTCTGGAAGATCGGCCACAGTGTGAATAGACTTTATCAGTTCCTGCAGCGATAGTGCCGATGGCGCAGGGTTCTTTGGAGGGCCGCAGAGGGCCACGACCCGCCCAACGGCCGCATATGCATGTTCGGCGAGATCAGAAAGCTTGTCGCCATCTGCAGGTGAAGATTTTAGGAGGTCCATGTCTGGTGTGTAGAACGAACGCGGTGTGTTCTGGGTTGTGCATCATGCAGATGTCAATCGCCAATGCGAAATCTCGAAGTCTGCACGGTCTCGTGGGGCTGTTCATCTCCAGGAAGCGCGCGTCACGAGGGACTGGGATATTTGAGAGTGTTCGATCGACGCGTAGTCTGAGGTTTCATGAAGTGGGTTACCGGCACGAGAATGCAGGTACGGCACTAGCGTAGATCCATGGTAAACTATTCTCGGTAGGCGGACGGGAGGATATTGAGCTGCAAGCCTACCCGAGTATTGCATCTTGTATGCAGTCTGCGTTGGCATCTTCAGGAACATGGCTTGATTGACCTGACACATCTGACCTTGACGTTGTCAGAGGTGGCTGCTGGTGTGACACAGATAGCTGCCTCCCACGTGAAGTCCGTGTGAGAGACCGTTCATGCTTTACGAACGCGATCTGTTAGAGGTCGGTGGTCGGAAGTCGGAATGCTCACGAGTTTGGGTTTCGCTACTTGCGGCGCAATAAAGCCACTAGGGTCCGGCTCTTGATCCTCAGTCGTCAGCAAGAGGCTTCGCATAGCCAGTGTTAATTCCCATGGCTCAAAAAGCAACTGCCACGAACTTCGTGGCTCACTCTGCTGACATAGAACAAAGCCGTCCACACGCCGCCGTGTCAGATTGGGCTTGTGCAGCGTTGTCGAAGACTCCATGGTAGAAGGCGTTGAAGCCGTTGAGGTCGGAAAGTCGGCGCCGAGATCTGGAAAGACCTCGCGTGGTGGCTGATCGCTCGGCGCTTCTAGTCGATGGCGAAAGCATTGTCCGAATTGGGTCGTGTCTCACCGGCTCTCGTGACGAGGTCCACGCCCACCGTCGTGCAAGCAAGTGGGACAGTCGCACGCGATTGTAGACTGAGGCTTGAGCTACGTGATGCAACGAGATTGATGAAAGATGCAAATTTTTGTAGGTGAACGCTGCAAATTGGACGTGCCAAAAGCGGTTTCGAACGCTTCCCGCCTGCTCCCCCTGTTTGAGCTCACTGTAACTCCTTTCGAATTGTACCAGGAACGATCTAGAGCGCATGCATGAAGAGTCCGCGTCTGCGAGCAATATGCAAAAGTGACAAAAGAATTGCTCCCTCGGGTGGGCTTGAACCACCAACCTCCTGATGGCTTGGATGAGCTCCTAACAGTCAAACGCGCTAGCCAATTGCGCCACGAGGGACAATGAGCGTTGTAGAGAATTTATTCATAATAGACTCAGGATAAATCCCCCCGGGGTCTGGAGCACTGCCTATGCGTTCCATAGCGGTTTCATAGCGGAATGATACTCAAGAATGGATGCATGTGCTCGATATCTTCAAAATGTACCGCAATCGGTCGTGCCATCAAGTTGTGAAAGTAGCTTGACAGACAATCTTCAGCCATAAAAACCGAGCAGACTCTAGCGCAGTGCTCTGATGCTTGAGCTAGCGATGCGGATGCCAGTCCATATTGCAGTCAAGAACACCCGTCCTATGCCGATAATCTGTGAGCTGATCTACAAAGCGCACACGAAGTCGGTCATCAGGCGCAGAGCGTCATGGCAATCTTCCCTAGCACATCCGGATCATTCTATCGACGCTCGCGGAAGCTGGCGCCAATTGACGTAGAGGGCGGGTCGGCCTCTTTCCTCTGGTGTCAAGTGTGTGCAGTGGTGAGTGGCCAATCTTGCGCGAGACGTCCGAGCCATTTATGCTGCACATTAATAGTATCGAGTCTAATCAGTATTTTGAGACTCTCTCCAATTCATGCGAGCAAGCGTGTGGCACCTTTCCTGCAGCCTCGACAACGTTGTCGTCAGTGCAAGGAAGAATGTAGATGGGTTGAGGGAATTCACTATTTCCAAGGTTGGGTGAAGTGCCAAGACTTCGGACGCTAGGGCCTGGCTTTCGAGAAAAGTTCGAGCTCGATATTCAGTGCACCACTCCACACCGATCATCCCATATCCACAACATCACATCAACATGGCGGACGAAGTATACGATGGTGCCATTGGCATCGATCTCGGTATGCTGCTAGAAGTGTTGCGCATGGAGGTTACAACCGCTAACACGGCAAAGGCACGACCTACTCTTGCGTGGCCAACTATGAGGGCGCCGGCGTGGAGATCAGTCAGTAATCTGCTAGACCGCAGAGAGAGAACATGCGCTGATAGTACTGTCTCTCAGTTGCCAACGAGCAAGGATCTTTCACCACCCCATCCTTCGTTTCCTTCACCTCCGAGGAGCGCTTGATTGGTGAGGCAGCCAAGAACCAGGCCGCCATGAACCCCGCAAACACCGTCTTCGATGTGAAGTGAGTAGATGATGCGTAGCAGAAACAGTACAAACAAGAGATTGACAGGCGGACAGGCGCCTCATCGGCCGGAGATTCGACGACCCCACAGTCAAGAAGGACATCGAGTCGTGGCCGTTCAAGGTCACCGACGATGATGGAAACCCAAAGGTGCAGGTTGAGTACCTCGGTGAGACGAAGGTGTTCTCGCCTCAGGAGATCTCCGCCATGGTTCTCGGAAAGGTGCGCATACCCCGAGTGCGAATACCTGAGCGCATGCTGACTCCCAACAGATGAAGGAGGTTGCAGAGACGAAGCTCGGCAAGAAGGTCGAGAAGGCCGTCATCACAGTCCCCGCCTACTTCAACGACAACCAGAGGCAAGCAACGAAGGATGCTGGCTCGATCTCCGGGCTGAACGTTCTCCGTATCATCAACGAGCCCACTGCCGCCGCTATCGCTTACGGTCTCGGTGCTGGCAAGTCTGAAAAGGAGCGCAACGTCTTGATTTACGATCTCGGTGGTGGAACCTTCGATGTGTCGCTTCTTCACATCCAGGGTGGCGTTTTCACAGTCAAGGCTACCGCTGGTGATACTCATTTGGGTGGGTCTGACTTTGTGACATGGCTCTGCTTGAGCGCTTCATGAACGAGTATCTAACACAGTCCCAGGCGGCCAGGACTTCGACACTAACCTTCTCGATCACTTCAAGAAGGAGTTCTTGAAGCGCACGAAGAAAGACATCAGCGACGACCCGCGGGCCCTCCGCCGCCTCCGAACCGCTTGCGAGCGCGCGAAGCGCACCCTTTCCAACGGCACCCAGACCACGATCGAGATTGACTCCCTCTACGACGGGGAGGACTTCAACTCCCAGATCACCCGTGCTCGTTTCGAGGACATTAACAGCAAGGCGTTCAACGGCACGATCCAGCCAGTCGAGCAGGTTATGAAGGATGCGAACCTCCAGAAGAGCCAGGTTGACGAGATTGTCTTGGTTGGTGGCAGCACACGTATCCCCAAGATCCAGAAGCTCCTCAGTGACTTCTTCAATGGCAAGAAGCTCGAGAAGAGCATCAACCCCGATGAGGCTGTTGCATACGGTGCCGCTGTTCAAGCCGGTATCCTGTCCGGCAAGGCCACCTCCGCCGACACCGCCGACCTCCTCCTTCTCGATGTCGTCCCTCTCTCCCTCGGTGTGGCTATGGAGGGCAACATCTTCGCTCCTGTCGTTCCCCGCGGCAACACCGTGCCCACCATCAAGAAGAGGTAAGATTGAACGCAATGCTGCCTCTCGCTGGTGCTGCATGTTACACTGCGCAATCGCTGATTTCAGTCATAGGACCTTCACCACTGTTGCCGACAACCAGCAGACCGTGCAATTCCCGGTCTTCCAGGGTGAGCGCGTGAATTGCGAGGACAATACATCTCTCGGAGAGTTCACCCTCGCACCCATTCCTCCCATGAAGGCTGGTGACGCCGTCCTTGAAGTCGTCTTCGAGGTTGACGTCAACGGTATCCTTAAGGTCACCGCCACCGAGAAGACCTCCGGCCGTAGCGCCAATATCACAATCTCCAACTCCGTCGGCAAGCTCTCGTCAGGCGAGATCGAGAAGATGGTGGAGGACGCCGCCAAGTTCAAGTCGAGCGACGATGCTTTCAGCAAGAAGTTCGAGTCGAGGCAACAGTTGGAGAGCTACATCTCGCGTGTTGAGGAGATTGTCAGCGATCCTACGATGAGCATGAAGCTCAAGAGGGGGCAGAAGGAGAAGATCGAGAGCGCGCTGTCCGATGCGATGGCTCAGCTCGAGATCGAGGACGCGAGCAGCGATGACTTGAAGAAGAAGGAGCTGGCGCTCAAGCGTGTGGTCACGAAGGTGAGCAACATTGTCGGCCCGTTGTGTGACCGTTCACATACTGATGTTCCTCGCAGGCTATGTCTACCCGCTAAACCTCATGTCCCGGCGTTTGCATCTTCATTGGTGGTCGGATAGATTGGCAATTTCTCAAAAGCAGCGCAGCGTGTTTTGGACCGGTCGCGGACCTTGAGCAGCGACTTCGCCCGATGCTTCGCGGAGTATGCATGGCACTGAGTAGCTGCGGTCGAGCTTCAGCTGGGCAGTCTGGTGAACGAAGGCGTGTATGAATGCGTGCTACACCCAGTCTAGCTTTCTCATATGCCGAGTTCCACGTGCTTGTAGATCTTCTGCTTTCTTCCGCCCAGTGCAATCATTGCATGAACCTATGACGGCAACCAGAGACCTGATAGTGCCTACGGTCTGCCGTCATCTAGGAAGATACCTCCGATCGTTAGTAGCCAGTAAGATCATGTTTACGATGTACTGGTGCTTCGGAACAGCAAGTGGCACTTTGGAGACTCCACTTTTGCAGTTCGACTTCACCTCTTGTTCTGCAATAACCATCTCCAACGCCCTATATTGCCGAGATTGCATCGCGCAAGTCTGCCACCCAATGATACTTTAAAGAACGCAGTCGAGGCGAGACAGCTTCGACTCGAGCCAGGGCCGCAATCATGTCGAAGCAAAGTGAGTAATTCAGTCCACAAGAACCTGCTACCCATGCTTGCCATGGACTCCTCGTCTGTCTGTGGTGCAATCATGCGCAGGTCGGGTCCACTAATCAGACCATGAACAGGCAGAGCGCAGATCGACTGCATATCCGAAGATGCTCTCCAGCACTTCAAGACCTACAAATACTCATCCGTCGACCTCTCACCGCTGTCGTACTATGTTCTACGCCACTACGTGAGTCCACCACTATCCTTCTAGTGTATTTCCACGACTAAGACCGTATAGTGGAACTACTGCGTCTCCCTCCTCCCCCTCTGGCTCCACCCCAACTCCGTCACCCTCCTCGGCTTCCTCTGCATCCTCTTCAACATCTTCCTGCTCATCCTCACCGACCCAGACTTCCTCGGCCCACCTCCATGGGTCTGCTACTCCTACGCTCTAGGTGTCTGGGCCTACAGCACAATGGACAACATCGACGGTAAGCAAGCGCGACGCACCGGCACCTCTTCCGGGCTAGGCGAGCTGTTCGATCACGGGATTGACAGCTTGAACTGCACGCTGGCGAGTCTACTGGAGGTGAGCGCTATGGGGTTGGGAGCGACGAAGTTGGGTGTTTTGACTGCGATTATGCCGTGTTTGCCGATGTTCTTTAGTACGTGGGAGACGTATCATACGCATACGCTGTTTCTTGGGTACTTCAATGGACCGACTGAGGGGTTACTGATTGCAAGTTTGATCATGGCTGCTAGTGGGTATTGGGGCACTGGACTGTGGAGAGCGCCACTGGCTGATCTGTTTGGTTTCGAGAGTGTTTTGGGGAAGATCTGCTTTCTGGATGTCTGGGCGCCGCTGATGATCGGAGCGTTCTTTACTGCGCATCTACCGAGTTGTGTGGTCAATGTTGCGAAGGCGAGACGAGAGAAGGGACTGAGGTGGACGCCTCTGATGCCGGAGTGGACGCCAATGGCGCTGTTCGTCGGATCGCTGACGGCTTGGTTCGGATCACCGTACTCGCATATTCTCACCGACAACTACATCACGCTGCTTTGTCTGACACTATCATTTGTATTCGGAAGGATGACTACAAAGATCATACTGGCGCATCTCACGCATCAGCCATTTCCGTACTGGACTGCGCTGCTGATCCCGCTGGTTGGAGGTGCTGTGATGGCATGGCTGCCACTATTCGGACTGCCTGCAGTCTCGTCATCCTTCGAAGCGACCTATCTGTGGGCCTACTTCGCACTGAGCTTGGTCGTCTACTTCCGCTGGGCGTTCTTGGTTGTGAATGCTATCTGCGACTATCTTGGGATTACATGCCTGACGATACCCGAGGAGAAGTGGAAAGCGCTGGAGCGTGAGCAGTCAGCAGAGAGGGAGAA